TCTTCACCTCCTCCCACTTCTGTCAGCCATTCTGGGACTGGGCAGCTGGGACATTGTGACCTCTTGTCAGGTGGGGCTCTGGGGTAGGGAGGGGCTACTGCAGTTTCTGGCCTCATAAGCAGCTAGTGGCTCAGGTGGGGCTTAGCCAGGGGTCAGCTCTTTCTGAGAACTAAGACTCATCCTCTTGTTTCTGCTAATTCCCTGTCCTAGGGCCCCCCCATGGGGATCTGAGTTGCCAAGAAGGCATTCTAACCCCATCACTACATGGGTGGCTGACCAAGGGAAAAGGGGCTGCTTTCTTTTTCCTGCCAGTGCTCGGAGCTGTGTCCAGGGAGAAGTCATTCAATCTTCCTGTCCAGTGCTTTCTCCCCTGAGAGTAGGGTGATGCCTGTGGACCCTTGTGGGTGATTTTTCAGGACTGCAGCCCTGGAATGCAGAGGTAGACTCTGTCAGGAAGAAACCAGAGGCTTTCCAGGGCTGGGCTCCCATGTGGCCTGCTACATGGGAGTGGGGCAAGAGGCAGCCATTTAAGCATTTTAAGTTCTATGGTTTATAGGAGATGTTTGGGATCCTGGGATTCCAGAAATGGCATAGAAGGCTACAACATAGTAACCCCTAAATTGGAGGTTAGAGTTACTGTATGAGAGTGAAATTAAAGAAAATGAACATGTAATGAAGGGATTGGTCACCTAGGAAAGAAATCTACCCCCATTGATAATTTGTAATTGGGTGATGGTTCCAACACATCTCAGTTTAGTGACTTGAAAGGCAAGAATGGAAATGGGCCATAACTGAGAGGACTTAATCATTGTCCACATATCATACTTTGAAGGAAAACTGAAGGGGGTGGGGCAAGGAGGACAGTAGAGGTACAGTCCCTAGGAGAGGAGGAGACAGAGAATCAGGCTGCATACCTGCCTCCAGCAGGCCTTGTCCAAAGACTCAAGCTTGGTGGCCTTGACGTCTTTGGTGGTGATGAGCTCAACAGTCCATGGAGCCAACGCCACCAGCCCTCAGGACCATTTATTGATTGCCTTTGTTCTGGCTCTTCCCAGAGTAATAAAGCAATGACCACAAAATTCTGAGGGAAAATTATTTTCAACCTAGAAACATGTATTTGTTCAAATGATTTCAAGTGAAGGCATAATAAAGACATTTTAAGCTATACAAGGTCCCAAAAATTTGATTTTGCATACACCTTTTCTTAGAAAGTTTCTGGAGGATGTGCTTCAGAAAAACAAGGCATTACACTAAGAAAGAGGACAATCTGGGATTTAAGAAATGAGACTAAACACAGAAGAGGAATGATGAGAGAGGCCTGGGATGTCAGCTGCATTCCCAGGTAAAGAAAACAAGTGCCCTGGCCGGTGTGGCTCAGTTAGTTGGGCACCATCCCATGCACCAGGAGGTTGCCAGTTTGATTCCTGGTCAAGGGCACATGCCTGGGTTATGGGCTCGATCCTCAGGGCAGCTGATCGATATTGTGCTCTCACATTGATGTTTTTCTCTCTCTCTCTCTCTCTCTCTCTCTCTCTCTCCTGTCCCTAAAAATCAATAAACTATTAAAAAAAGAAAGCAAACCAGCCCAGGATCAAAAGATAGATGCTCAAAGAGGAATGTCTTCAGAAGAAGATGAAATTAATTATCTGTGTTTAGACATATTTAAAACAAATGTTCAGTTCTGTTGGAAACTTTGGGATTGAATTTGCAATTGATGCTTAGAAAACCAAGCAATAATAAAGTAATTACTCCAGGGAAACAAAAAGTTGAATATTTACATGGTTATAACATAAGCTCTGCATATTGACTCCAGTGATTTGGCTCTTTTGGCAAAATGGAAGGAGGGGAAGTTATGTTTGTGTATTTGGATGTGAATGAGTGGGAGGGTGAGAGGAAATCGAGAGTCTTAATTCCATAGCAGGAAATCCACAGATAACATCTAAATATAGAAAAATCAAGAAATAGCAATAGAAGCATAAAGGTAAATACAAGAAAAAAATGTGAGTTACCTCTAAAACTATATTCCCAAGTATTTTGATAAAAAATAATTTCATAAAAAAACAAAACAAAAAACAGCCTGGCTGGTGTAGCTCAGTGGTTGGCCACTGACCTATGCACTAGGAGGTCCCGGTTTTATTCTGGTCAGGGCACATGCCCAGGCTGCAGGCTTGATCCCTGGCAGGGGGCATGCAGGAGGCAGCTGATTGATGTTGATGTTTCTATCTCTCTCTCTCTCTCTCCTTTCTTCTCTCTTTAAAAAAAAAAAATCAATAAAAACATATTAAAGATAAAAAAGCAAATCAATATAGGGTCATAGTGTGGAGATCGGGAACACAGCCTTCCAGGATGAATGAAATAACAATTTCCTAATGTTACATGGATGTATTCTTGTGGCTTGAAATAACCAGCGGCAGCATCAAACACTATCAAACTCAGAAAGTTGTGAATCTCACGCATTTTAAGTGCAGGTGCTTTAACCTCCACCTAGTGCTTCTTAACCTTTAATGTGCACAGGACTCTCTTGGGGTAGAGTTCTCTGGGGACCTTGCTAAAATGCAGGTTCCGATTCAGTAGGTCTGGGGATTCTGCATTTCTAACAAGCTCCCAGGGGATGCTGATGCTGTTGGTGCTTGGCCACACTCTGAGGAACGAGGCTCTCCAAGACACTGATGTACAAAGGAGAGACAGTGGGGGAGGTGTGATGAGGGGAGGAGCCTCCTGTGCATCTAGGTGCCATGGGAGTCCCCATTAAGGCTCACCTGCACCGTAAGGGGGGCACCTAGTTGGCAGTGAGTTCTGCCTCAGCACCAGGACAGAAGATTAGGAGACACAGGTAGGCAGTAGATTTCACTACTTTTTTTTTAAAGCTTTATTAAAAAAAAAATCTATATATCTATACCTATATCTATACCTATATCTATACCTATATCTATATCTATATCTATCTATCTCTTCATTGATTTTGGAGAAGAAGGGAGAGGGAGAGAGAGAGAAACATTAATGATGAAAGAGATCCCCAGTCCTACTGGGGATCGAGCCTGCAACCTGGGCATGTGTCCCAACTGGGAATTGAACTACGATCTCCTGGATCATAGGTCGATGCTCAACCGCTGAGCCAAGCCAGCAAGGCAACTACTTTTCTATTTGTGCAGCCAAACACATAGCCTCCTTTCTTTTGAATATTGTTTTATTCCATCCACGTATGTGGGAGCAAGAGGACTGTGTTAAGCTGTTTTCTCCATCTTTATTTCATCTGATTAATGCCAGGGCCCTGGGAACTACATATAATCTCACTTTATCATCACAGTAATCCTGACAAGTAAATATTATCATTCCAATTTTACAGATGAGGAAGCTGAGGCTCAAAGAGGTGAAATTACTATTCAAGGGTACCCAAACAAGTAAATGGCAGAAACCTGATGTGAAATTAAACCAGGATGGCTCCAAGGTCATTGATCCTCTCCACCTCCATCTGCCCAGCCCTTCAAGATCCCTTAAGGCAGCTATTCCCACCAAGTCTGCCTCAGTTGTGCTTGTAAAGTAGCCTCGCCCTTGTGAGGCTATAGAAGATTCTCTACCTGGCTCCTGGGGCTAGGGCTCTGGCTGAGTAAACCCATAGATAGGGGAAGGGCATGTAATCGGAGTAGAACCACAGTTGTTCAACGATTATTATCTTACTAAGTATAGCTAAGAGGCTTTCTTACAGACCCTGGGAAACTGGAGGCTGTGCTGCAAGAAGGAAAACAGGTCTGTAAAAATAAGGCGGCCTCGAAGAAGCCCAGATGGGTCCATTACTCAAAAAAGAAAATATATTTTGAGAGCTGACCAAGGACAGGACATGCTTTAACTTGGCTGATATGCTGGGACCCTGACCCCCTCCGAGAGTTTGCCTTAGGAATGCTGACCATTCTCCCGTCCCAGGAACTGGCTGAGCTGTTTTTTAACATCATAAAAGATTAGTCCCCCTGTTCTGGTACTTTGAGCTCCTGCACGCAGACACACAAGCTGCAGACCCTAAAACTTCCCTTGCCCTGCTACGCTCCCAGCTGCACATTTTTCCTACCCCTATACAATCAGCTAGCTGGCAGGAGAAAGTAGGGAGCAGGGGTTTTTCCCAGGGCGTGAAGCCTGCTGCTCACTCCATATTGCCGGCAATAAGAAATAAACACTCCTAAATGATTCAAACTTGTCTCTGCTTATTGGCTCAGTAGTGACAAGCAGGAACAGACTTGATTTGGGGGGTCGGGTTCTACCTGGGTGCAAACCTGTCATTGTACCCTAGGAGCTACTACCTCCAGAACCTGCTTCCAGGCTTGGTGGCTTTGCAGCCCCAGGTACCCCGTGGCAAGGGCCAAAGGCAGTAGCCTGGCTGGGAGCACAGTGGCGGTGAGGGGGTGAGG